GACCCAAAAAAGGCCACCCATTCAGAATGCTCCAAGAGGCCCCCCCACAGGCTCCCAAGAGGCCTCCAAGAGGCCCCCAGGAAGCCGAAGATGGTCCGCAGACAGTCCCCCAAACCGCCCAAGACGGCCCAAGAGGCATCCAAGAGCACCCCCAAGAGGGCCCGCAAAAGCAAAAATAGCCCCCCTCCCTTCGGAAAACGTACATTTTATAATATTCGCCCAGAGGCCTCCAAGCTCGCGCCAAGATGGCCAAAGAGGGTCCCAGAGGGCCCCAAGATCGCACCAGACGGCCAAAGAGAGTTCCAAGAGGGCCCCAAGACGGCTCAAGTGGGGTTCAGGAGTGACCTAGAGGCCCCGAAGACAGCCCAAGAAAGCCCCAGGACCGCTCCCAGAAAGAGCTCACAGGGGTACCCGACCTGACATTTCCAGCCTTCCTCCCCAAAGAGAGCCCTAGGAGACCCAAAAAAGGCCCCCCAAAGCATCCAGAATGCTCCAAGGGCCCCCCCACAGGCCCCCAAGAGGCCTCCAAGAGGCCCCCAGGCAGCCAAATATTGTCCGCAGACAGCCCCCCAAACCGCCCAAGACGGCCCAAGACCCGAGGGGCGACCAGGGCGGGGACGGCGTCGACGACGACGACGCCGACGACGGCGACACCGCCGACGACGGAGAATTCTCTCTGGGATCCGAGGGCCTCTGCGCTGGCCCGGGGAGGGAGGTGCCACAGCAGGAGGGCCACGGCGCGCATGGCGTCGAGAAGGCCGTTTTCTTGGACCGGCGGCGGCGGCGGTCCGAAGTGCGGCTCGTCCGCACCGTCCGTTGTAAGGTTCCTCGGGGCTGTTTGGGAGCCTCCTGAAGCCTCGTTCGGGCCTCCTGGGTGCCTCTGGGGGGTCTCCTGGCCTCTTGGGGCCCCTTTGGGGCCTCCCGGGGCCCTGTGGAGGCGGGAGGCTCGAATTTCCGGTTCGCGGTTCCCCTCTTGGAGGCCTCTTGGGGCCGTCTTGTGCCTCTCTTCGCCCGTCTTGGGCGCGTCTTGGGCCGTCTTGGGGCCCTCCAGAGCCGTCTTGAGCCCCTCTTGGAGGCCTCTTGGGCTGTCTTGGGGCGTCCGCGGGGGGCCTGTGAGCCGTCGTGGAGCGTCGGAAAGCTGAAACGGCGGGAAGGCAAAATGTGTCCACTCTAATAAAATGAGCGATTTTGGCCTCTTGGGGCCCTCTGGGGGGGCCTCTTGGAGGCCCCTTGGAGCGTCTGGGGGCCTCTTTGGCCGTCTTGGGCTTATCTTGGGCATCTTGGGGCCCTCTTGGCGCTCTCTTGGGCCTCTTGGAGCCTGCTGGGCCTGTCCTGGAGCGCTCTTGGGGCACTCTTGGGCCGCCTGGGCTGCTCCAGGGAGGCTCCAGGCCCCCCCCGTCCCCCCATGGGGGGTCGGGGCACCTGTCCTGGGGCCCCCGGCCTCGCCCCCAGGGATATATATATATATATATATATATATATATATATATATATATAGGTTCGCTTTTTTATATATGTTTGTAACATGTTTGGACGCCCGAAATGGGATGGAAAAAATTGGCACAATGCCCAGCAACAACTGTTGTCCCAAACCAAAAGCGGCCGATGTTGGGCAGGTGGCCTTCTGTCTCAACTGGACACAGGCCGCGGCGGCGCGGACAGCGAGTCCTGTTCAAAATGAACAGGAACTGTTGTTTGGCATTGAACCCATTCTTTCCGTACCCAGTTCGTTCGTGCCGAACCTGGGATCCTACGAACACCCACCCCTAAACGGGAAACCCGGATCCCTGGCCCCGGGGGCCCCCTGGACGCCGTTGCAGAAGGTTCCCTGGGCTTTGGGGAGCTCCTGGGGACCCCCGCTGGGCCCAGGCAGCGGGCTCAAATCGGTCAGAAGGGCGGCCGAACAGCCCCCCGAGGCCCCAAGAGGCCCCAAACACCCACCAGACGCCCGAAGACGACCCAAAGAGCACCCCCAAGAAACTTTCGAAGTGCAGAAAACAATGATTTCCAATGACGTTTGCATCATGTTGAGAATGCTCTGTTCTTCGGTGTTCCAGGCCTCCCAGACCGCCCAAGACTCCCGACAATCCTGCCACAACTATCCGAAAGGGCTCCCAGGCAATCCAAGAGACCCCCCAAAGGGCCCAATGATGGCCCAAGATGGCTCCAAGACGCCCCCCGAAGCATTCCAAAGCGTGACCCTGTCGTTCAGGGGGACCGCAGTTGAAGCAGGGTGGCCCGAGGAAGCCTCCAGATCCCCCCTCAAAGCGCAAAGGAGGCCTCTAGAAGGCACCAAAAAGCCATGATGAGGCCCCCAAGAAGCTCTCCAAAGAGGAACCTCCGAAAAAGAGCAGAGGAGGATGGGGAAGAATTCGCAGGGAGGGCGAGAATGAGGGAGAGGAAGATGAAACATGAAGGAATTATAACACATGACATCATAATGACGACGATGCCAGACAAGGCAACGAGGAGCTACCGCTATTGTTTCTGCTTTACATTCCTGCCCGTCCGCCGCGACTTCCGCCTGCACGTCAAACTTCATGGCGCGAAGCGCTACTGCAATCTTTTACGTGCACATGCGTATACCTATTCATCCATCTCTGTCTTCCACGCACTTCCCCCCAATCACACTGGCCCTTTAGGGCGTGAATGGTTTAGAGCATTTCCTCTTCCAACTCCCCTCTTCCCCTTCGGGGAGGGGTTTACCACTGTTCCCTGTTTATGTATACTCCCTCCCCCAGGTGACAGGCAGCCAACCAAAAACCGTGAGGACCTCATGCTCCCCCGCCATCCATGTCAAAAACAATACAAAACGCACTCTGCCTCCACATCTGGAGCATGCACGTCCAACCGGATGCGCCCCCCCCACCATCCCTGTCAAAATAAAGAAATACACTTTGGGGCACAGTCTTGAGTCATGTTCGTAAGGCCCGCGAGCACTTTGTATTGTTTGTGACGGGGCGGCGGGCGGGTCAGCATATTGCCTGCTGCGCGAAAGGCTACCATCCCTAAAGAAACCATGCTAAATTCACCTCGCGGCTAAATCTGGATCCTTGGCGGGCACTCCGCGATCACTGTCAAGTGGTTTTTGGCAGGGACTGCGGGGGTGGTGGGCTATGGCCTGCTGTGCGCAGGCCCACCAGACACAATGATGGGCATTGGTTTTCGACAAGGGTGGTGGGGGCCGACATGTTTCCCGATGTGTGCTGTCACGTGCGCAGGCGCACCTGACACACTTTGCACGTGCCCCGAACGTGGCGGGCGCACCTGGCGCGGCTGGAGTATGCGGCACACCTGGCGCACGCGGAGCACGTGGCGCATCTGGCGCACCAGGCGTACCTGGCACGTTCGGGCCCCAAGGGTGCCTGGCGCGCGTGGCGCGCCGTGCACGCGTGGCGCACCTCGCCCCAGCGTCGCGCACATGGGGTCGGTCTTGTATCCCAGTAGCTGCCAATCCAAAGATGACCGCTGAACATGCTCAGGCTCGGGTGTTACGTATGTGTTGGGAGGGCGGGTGGGAGTGAGCTAGACGGCTTGCTATCTAGGGGGTGTCTTGAGCCCTTCCCCTACCCCTTCCCCCTGGACCTGGCCTTGATCAAGGCGTTGGAGCGTCCAAGCTGGCCTCGGCGAGGAAGCCATACTCATTGATTTAACTGAGATGTTGGCCGCATGTCTCGGGAGGAGGTGCGGGGCGGGCGCTGATTGGAACCGCCTCCTTCTTTATCACGTCCACGATGGCTCCCGAGGCTCCCAAGAGTGCCATATGAGGGCCCAATATGCGCCAATAGGCCCCCACGATGCCTCCAAGATGCTCCCACGATGCCTGTAAGAGACCCCAACGAGCCTCCCCCAGAGACACCCAATACGCCCCAAGAGGCCTTGGCGAGAAGGCCTACATAACTGGTGTTACAACATGTTTGACCACATAGGCCCCCCTGGGGGGAACCCGAGTACCCCAATTGAGGGGCCCCGCCCGTTTGATCCATGTCCCTTGAGATGGCACCCAAATCTGGCCCCGAGGTGCCCAGGAGGCCCCCAAGAGGGTCCCAAGATGCATCACACATACCCCCAAGAGGCTCCCAAGAGGCCCCAAGATGCCCCCTAGAAGCCCAAGGCGCCTCAGGAGGCCTCCGCGAGAAGACCAACATCAGTGATTCCATGCAGGTTGCTGGCCACATGTTGGACTTCTGGGGGGAACCTTGATATACTGTGGCCCCTCATTTGAACGATCTCCTTCAAGATGGCCCCAAGACGGCCCCCGAGGCTTCCAAGGGTGCCCCTAGACGGCCCCGAGTAGTGCCAAGGAAGCCCCAAGAGGCCCCTAAGAGGCCCCCAATATTCCCCCAAGAGGCTCCCAAGAGACCCCCACGAGGCCCCAAGATGCTCCCCAGAGGCACCCAGGACGCCCCAAGAGACCCCCAGGACTGCCAAACGACCCCCAAGACAATCCAAGAGGACTCCAAGAAGCTCTCGGAAGAAATCCGAAAAGACTCCGAGAAGCATCCAAGAGGCTTCTGGCCTTCCGCTCGCTCTCCTCCTCCTCCTCCTCCTCCTTCTCCTCCTTCTCCTGCTCTTCCTCATCCGCCGATTCCTCCTCCTTCCTCCTCCCTCCTTCCCCTACCCCTCTCCCTTCTCCTCCTGCATGTCCTCCTCCTCCTCTTCCTCTTCCTCCTGCTCCTATAGTTCCTCCTCCATCCTCTCCTTCTTGGGGTATGATGTCTTACCCAGCCCATTGTTCCACTGCATGATCCTCCACATTCCTGATAAGAGCAACTCGTCTGGGCTTCGTTACTGTATGGGCTGGTGGGTTACGCGAAGCGTCTACAAGCGTTTCCCCCATTGGTGTTCAAAACATCTGGGGAACGCATAGTCCGATACCTTGGCCATACGTGTTCTGGCCCAACGTTTTCCCATCACGGCGATGCCACGAGGCAGGGGGCGGCGGTGACTAGTCGTAAGCGACGTCGATATATGGCACTCAGCCCGAACAAACATGCCCCTTAATGGACGGAGGCATGGATGCGTGCGAGGCAGTCGCGCAATTTCTGCAACTGCTCGGGATCCAACGGCTCCTTCTCATTCGCCGTGGAGCTCACCCAATGGCTCAACGGCAGGTGCCAGTAGGGTTGGTAGACCACACACTTGTCGTTGAAAAAGGCGGGCACGTGAGAGAAGCTGCTCCTGGCCATCACGAGCACATCCGCCCTGGCAAAATTAGACCATGCCTCCAGAACGTCGCCATCCAGGTGCACAGTCAGGCCCTTGCTGCGGTACTCGTCGAAGGAGGAGCTCGGGAGCTTCTGCTCCGTCGAGCTGAAGACATGCATGTCTGCCTCAGGAGCCAATGTGCGAAGCTGCTCCACCAAGCGATAATACCACGTGTCGGACGTGCCCCTGTACCTGTCGGTCTCAGATACATCACCACGCCTGATGTGAAGCGCGACAGAGAGGCGATCCGGCTTGAAGACGAGCGGCCCCTTTCTCAACGGTGATGACCTCTGCAAGCCCGAAAGGAATGTTGGAGTGAAAGTAGCGGTCCATATCGGCGCCAGATTTGTCCAGGTCGCACGCAAGGCACTTGGCCTTGGCACTCAAGAGCCAGTTGTCCTTGCTGCTCTTCGGCATCCCTTGCCGACTAATGGACTGCTCGAACTTCCTCGTGTCTTCGAAAACGAAGTCGCCAAAGTCGGGCGGGTGATTCGTGAACATCATACGGGGGTTCTTGATCCCAAACACTCGGCCCGCAGACTTGAATATGTCCACGCCGTGCGTGGAAGAGGACGGCGCCCCGCAGGTGCTTTTGTCATAGATGACGCCGCCGAGGGCGAAGCCGTTGGCGGCCGCGACCGCCATGCCGAGGACCACGTCGTGAAGCCTGGAGCCCAGCCCATCCTTCGGGCATGGACAGAACCCCCTTTAGTAAAACGTGGTTTAGTGAAAACGACCTCGGGCCCAATCCTGGCGGGCGCAAGCCTGGAAAATGACGGCCGCGGCGCCCTCACGAGAAGCGAGACGGGCAATTCACTAATCGACGTGTCAGGGTGGGGGTTCTGTCCACCCCCGAATCCTAGACAAAGGGAAAGCTGCATGACGGCAAACACTCGGAGCTCCGCGAGGATCTCTCAGATCTTCGGCTGCACGCAATAATGACCCTAGGCAAGAGTGACCTTTGGTGCGCGGCTTTTGGGTGGCGCACGTGTGCCAAACCCAAGCGCGCAGGCCGCTGCTGTCGCATCGCATTCGCCGATCGGGGAGCCCCACCGGGCCCGCACAAGAGGTCGATCCGGCGAAGGGTCACTCGTACGTGCAGTCGAGGTCTGCGCTGGACTCCCCTCACTGGCGCGCCTCCCGGCACCAGGGGCGGCGCAGGAAGCACCGCCAGCGAGGACCCAGCGCCGCCCCGACAAATCCACGCGGAGCTCCGAACACTGTCACGTACCGCCGTCGTGCTACCACACGGAACGCTGAATGAGGAACGAAGGGGCTTTCCTGGCCACAGCGGACCTGTGCCGCGAATAGGTCCTCTGACCGAAGTAGAAGGATCGGCCCGAAAACCAGAGCCCCTCAGAACCCGAAGCGGTTTAATTCAGTATCTTGACTGTATGCCGTTTTCGTCTTCGACATCCTTGGGCTCCATGATGTAAAGACGCGGGGCCTCCGCGCCCGCCACCTGGCAGGCAGGGCACTGGCTCACGAACTCCTCGTCGCTTATGTTGGCGCCTCTGCCGCGGCACTCTGGCAGGTCGCCGATACTCCCCGCCTCAAGGCGCTCCCACTTCACCTCCTTGCGCTTCTTCCAGAAGAAAGAAAAACTGCACGAGCATCAATTTTTGAGGTCCGCGCAGATTTCTAGGATCGGCGCGGGGCCCCCCTCACAGGCGCGCGGAGCGCACCAGGGGGTGGCGCTGGAGGCAGGGGGGGGCGGCGGCGCCGGTCCCAGAAATCCGCGCACGGAGCTCTGACAGCGCGTGTTCATGCAGCTGTTTTTTCTTCGATCTTCTCCTGCCCGTCCCAGACCTCCGTCCTCGCGTGGTGCCTCGCCTTCACCTGAGCGACGACAAGAAACGGCTCCTACGCAAGATAACATAGCGACCTTACGCCACGGCTCACGCGCGCCGCCAGCGCGGCACGCTACATTGGCCTCGACCTCAGCGATGTTCTCGATCCTGACTCCTCGCCATTCGACCCTCTCCTGGGAGCAGGTCGCGTCAGAACGTTGAAGTGGCGAGAAGTATCACCCTGCAGCATCAGGCAGCAGCAGCAGCAGCAGCAGCAGCAACTTACACGCCACTTCACGCGGGACGCTTACGCGCGAATGCCCGCGCAACCGTCCGAGAAACAACCAACGGCGTACAAACACAAACTTCGGAGGTCTATGCTTCTGCCATTTTGTTGCTCCTCTAGTGGACGTTTCTTTGATTCAGGCTTTCGCCATTTGGACGACAAGTGGGGCAGGGGGTGTCTGGGTCTGGGCCGGTGCATAGTCGATCTGCTTCTACTACTGACGCAAGGGGAGGGGGGGGGAGGGGGGGCGGGGGCCCGCGCCAATCCGCGAAACAATAAATAAAGAAAGGGTACCTCGACCCCGTTTGATCGACTGGGCGGCGCGCACAAGGTGGCAGGGGGAAGGGGAAGGTTTCTTAGGATAAGGCTGCTTCTGAGAAGGCGCCGGCCCTGGACCTGTAGATGAGGCTCGCGCCTTCTGAGAAGCAGGGGTGCCTCGAAGAAGCCCTCCCCCATCCCCTGCTACCGTCTGCGCGAGGCCGATCGACCCCGTCTGATCCCTTGGGAGGGGGGATCTATCCCGTTTTTTCGCGGAGGCTTTCCTCTTCTTGCCGCGGCCGCGGCTGCTGCGGCCGCTGCTGCAGCTGCGGCTGTGCGGTCGCGACTGCGAGGGAAAACTGTCGCGACTTCTTCGCGGTTTTTTTTTGTCTTCCTGCCGCCGCCCTTCGCCTTCGCGTGGCTCTCTGCCGCGGCGCGCGCCTGTTCCTGGTGCCTCTGCTTCTTGGTCAGGGCGGGACGCGGCTCGGCTTCGCCGGGGTCGCCCGCCCCGCCCCGCTCAGCCGCCGCGCCGCCCTCTGCCGAGGAAGAAAAGCACTGCACAACGGATCACCTCTCGGAGCTCCGCGCGGATATTGGCTGCGGACTTCCAATCCTTCTCCTCCCTCCTGCTCCTCCTGCTCCTCCTTCCTCCTTCCTCATTCCTGCTCCCCCTCCTCCTCCTCCTCCCTCCTCCTCCTCCTCCTCCTCCTCCTCCTCCTCCTCCTCCTCCCTCCTCCTCCTCCTCCTCCTCCTCCTCCTCCTCCTCCTCCTCCTCCTCCTCCTCCTCCTTCCTGCTCCTCCCTCCGGGGCGGCGCTGGGGAGTCTGGGGCGGCGCCTCCTGCGCCGCCCCTTGGAGGGCCCAGCGCCGATCCAAGAGATCCGCGCGGAGCTCCAAGTCTCAGAGAAATTGTGCGTCTGTGCATTCGTTTCTTTTTCGGTCCTCCGCGTCGGACGCACCCAGAGCCAGAGGCTCCCCCGACGCAGCCGCCGCCCGCAACGGGTCAACGGTGAGGCAGAGGGCGGTCACGGGCGCCAGGACGGCGCAGAGCCTGCCCAACATGGGGGTCTCGCGGGGCACTTTTCTAAAATGGGGGTAACTATGCGTATATCATGATCCGGAAAGGCTACAGGCTTCCATTCCTTCTCCTTCACTCTCCACCTCTTCCTCCTTCCATCTTCGTGCTGAACTTCTCCTCCTCCTCCTCCTCCTCATCCTCCTCCTCTTCCTCCACCTCCTCCTCCTCCTCCTCCCCCTCTGGGCGGCGCTGGCGTCTGAGGCGGCGCCGAATGCGCCACCAGGGGCGGCCCAGCGCCGCGCCAAGAGATCCGCAGGGACGTCCGAAAACTGTCTCTTCATTCATTGTTCGTCGACTCTCGGGCCTTCCATCTCCTCTGCGAGTGAAACTTTTTTGGGGGCATGCTTTCCTCCCTCCTTCTGCTATGCACAATCGTTTATCTCCTCCTGTGCTTCCTCCGGACTCCGTATCCCTCGCGAGTGCACCGCGTGCACCAAGCCGCGTGCACTCAAACTCACACTCGCACTTACCCACACTCATGCTCATACTCACACTCGCACTCACGCTCACGCTCACACTCACACTCACACTCACACTCACTCACTTACACACACAAGCATTTTTTTGGGGGGGGGCTTCGCAGCCCCGCGCGCAGCGTCAGGGCGTAGAAGGTTGACACAGTAAGCACGCGACACACACAGATACACGCACACACAGACTCACGCACACACACACACACACACACACACACACACACACACACACACACACACACACACACACACACACACACACACACACACACACACACACACACACACACACACACACACACACACACACACACACACACACACACACACACACACACACACACACACACACACACACACACACACACACACACACACACACACACGCACACACACACACACATACACACACACACACGCACGCACGCACGCACGCACGCACGCACGCACGCACGCACGCACGCACGCACGCACGCACGCACGCACACATACACACTCACACACTCACACTCGCACTCGCACTCGCACTCGCACTCGCACACACACACAGAAACACAAACACACACAAACAAACACACACGGACACATAGACACACAGACACACAAGCACACAAAACACACACACACACATACACGCACGCACACACATTCACACACAAACACGCACACATTCTCACTCACACTCACACTCACAAACACACACACACACGCACGCACACGCACACGCACGCACACGCACACGCACACAACACATACACACGCGCGCACTCACACACGTACAACACACACACACACGCATACACTCTGCGCTACGACGCATGTGGCAGGGCGTGTAAGCAACGGGTCTCTTTGAGAGCGAGGCGTGCATACCATGCTCGCAACCCCGCCCCCGCTGCGTCCCTTACCCCTTCCCCCTCCTATTTACACGCTTGAAGTCTTGAACAGGGTGTCGCTCCAGCGCTTGATTTTACGAGGGGCAACGCTTTAGCAGTCCACGGCGTGAAATCACCGAATTCGTACGAAAGCCACCGTTCCAGCAGCCTACGGCGCGCGCTCCAGCACTGCGCGAGCACTGCGCTTGAACCGGGGGCGAGCGCACTACAGCAGCCCACGGCGTGTGCTCGACCACTGCCTGGATACCGATCGACCGAGCGCGGTCGTTCAAACAGGTCTCAACCGCCAAAGACGAACCCACAAAAAATGACAAATCCCACCAGCAACACATTCTACGGACTATAGCCCCCAACGTCGTGACTGTTCCAAAGCGTGGCCCTGAAAACCACTACACTTAACCCCAGGAAGCATTTAAGAACCCCCCCGGCGATATCTTAGCACCGCATTTTTATTCGATATTCCGAAAGGCCGAAATAACCGAACGATAGGTTTAGCACCCGGACACAAATTAAATTCGCGGAGGCCTGGCCCCTGGGCCACAATCGAAATTCGAAATTCAAATCTGCGTGGCTCTCATGAAAGACTCAGGATGTCGCTTGCTGCTTGGAAAACTCATGCAATGATAATCGTATTAATATTCGCAAGCATATTTGATGACTCCTAGCGACTTGAATGGATCCATCAGGTTTCATACAAGTTCCGCAGGATTCTCAAGGATTCCTACGGATTCACAAAGATTCGTCAGGATTCATAAAAGATTCAAAGGATGTCCAGGGATTCCTGAATATTTCCAAGGAATCCAAAGGATTCCTCAGGAATCTGGAGAATTCCAAAAGATTCGTAAGAATTCCTTAAGAGTCCTAAAGGTTTTCCTTTACTGCTTATGAATTCCTGTTCCTTGTCTTGCTCCTCCTTCTCCTCTCCTCCTCCTCCTCCTCCTCCTCCTCCTCCTTCTCCTCCTCCTCCTCCTCTCCTCCTCCTCCTCCTCCTTCTCCTCCTCCTCCTCCTCCTCCTCCTCCTCCTCCTCCTCCTGTTCTCTCTTCTGATATGCTGGCCTCTTGGAAGAGATTTCTCATTCAAAACCCTTCTAGAAATTGATTTTCATCGGCCGTCCTAGGGGAAGGTCCACGAGAGGGTATCCCGCCCCCCACCGCACCGTGGCGTTATCTTAGCACCCGGCCACGCGAAAAAACACTCCAGTTCTATTCCTGCGGGTGTCCTAGGGATTCCTAAGGATTTATCTAGGATTCTTAAGGATTCCCTTACGATTCCTGCGCCTTCCTAAAGCTTTCTGTGGATTCCTCAGAATTCCAGAAGACTCCTTTAAATTCCTAAGGGCTCGTCACAAATTCCAGGGGATTCCTCATGAATGTTAGGATTCCTAAGGATTCCTACAGGGTCCTCAGGATTCCTGAGGATTCCTAGAGATTCCTAAACATTCGTTCTCCTCCTTCTCTTCCTCCTCCTCCTCCTCCTCCTCCATCTCCTCCTCTCCTTCCAGTGCTTCAGACTTGTGAGCGACGCTTCCATCTCATCAAGAATCCAATCTGACCTGGGCAAGACACAGGACAATCTGCCGACGATCCGTTCTGAATCAACTGGAAAGGCTGAGAAACCTGGGAAAGCTGAGAAACCTGGGGAAGCTGAGAAACCTGGGAAAGCTGAGAAAACTGAGACAACTGAGAAGCTTTCCCTGCTCCTGCTTCTCCTCCTTTTCCTGTTCATGTTCCTTGTCTTGTTCCTCCTTCTCCTCTCCTCCTCCTCCTCCTCCTCCTTCTCCTCCTCCTCCTCTCCTCCTCCTCCTCCTGCTCCTCCTCCTCCTTCTCCTCCTCCTCCTCCTCCTCCTCCCTCCTTTTCTCTCTTCTGATCTGCTGGCCTCTTGGAAGAGATTTCTCATTCAAAACCCTTCTAGAAATTGATTTTCATCGGCCGTCCTAGGGGGAGGTCCACGAGAGGGTATCCCGCCCCCCCCGCACCGTGGCGTTATCTTAGCACCCGGCCACGCGAAAAAAACAATCCAGTTCTATTCCTGCGGGTGTCCTAGGGATTCCTAAGGATTTATCTAGGATTCTTCCTCATCTCGTCTCCTCCTCCTGCTCAGGAGAAGGCCCAGAGGGGAAACCCCAGGTGACTTGTGCCCTGACAGGCCTTGGGCCCCGAGGGAAGGGGGGGGCGCGGTAGGAGGAGGAGGAGGAGGAGGAGGAGGAGGAGGAGGAGGAGGAGGAGGAGGGGGCAGGAGGAAGTTCGTGGGTAGAGGAGAGGAGGAGGAGGATGAGGAGGAGGAGGAGGAGGGCTCCTGGTGCCAGGTAACGCTTCCAGGGTGCGGAAGGGTTATCGATTTGCCGGAAGGGGGGGGGGGGGGTTCTTGAATGCTTCCTGGGGTTAAGTCGGGCCTGTCCCCCTACAGGCCGAGATTGGACGAACAATAAAAGATCATCGAAAAATACTCAACAATGGTCCCCAGACTATTATTGGACTGTTCTGGAATGTCCCCCCTGCAAGAGGGACAGGCCGACTCAACAACACTAGACATCCCTTCCCCCGAGGCCACGGGGAGCCTCCTGCCGCCGAGGCCACGGGGAGCCTCCCGGAGGCCCAGGGGAGGGTCGGCAGCAGGCGTGCACCCCACCCGAGCCCGGGAGCCTCGCGAGCCTCAGTCCTCGGGCCCTGGGGCCGTGGGCGCCGCGAGCAGGCTCGAGGATACCAGGGGGGAGGCGGGAGGGAGGGAGGAGGGAGGGAGCAGGAGTGGGGAGGAGGCGGCGGAGGAGGGCGGAGGGGGGAGGGAGGAGGGAGGAGCGCGGAAGAGGGAGCAGGAGCAGGAGGAGGAGGAGCAGGATGGAGGGTGGGAGAGAGGGCAGAAGGAACGAGAGGGAAGGGCCCAAGAAGATCGATTGGACGCCCGCAGTGGGTCTGGGAAAAACGGGTGCGATGCCCGACAGACCAGGTTGTCCCAGACAGGCAGCGGGGGCCACTGTTGGGCAGGAGACCTCTGGACCCAACAGGAGCACGCCCGCGGCGGCACTGACAGCGAGCCCAGCTCGAAGCGAGCAAGGCATGCTGATGGCCTTCGCACGCAACGCCCATCCCTGACGTACCCGGCTGGAGGGTTCCGGAAACCCTCAACCCAAAAACGCTGTCATCTCTTACCCGACTGCACGCAAGAGTGGCCCTGGGTAAGAGTGACCTTTGGTGCGCGGCTTCTTGGGGGCCGCGGGGGGACCAAACACAAGTGCGCAAGACGCTACTACCGCATCGCGTTCGGCGATCGGGGGACACCATTGGGCCAGCACCAAAGGTCACTCCGTCGAAAGGTGACTCTTACGTCTAGTCGACTTACGGGCACATCTTTCACTTCCGCCGGCTTCTGCTAACCCTCCGCGAGCTCCCGCTGGCAGAGCCGCCCTGGGCTTCCGCCGACCTTCCGACGCCCTCCCCTCCAACGAGGAAGAGGCGCCAACTCTTGCGACTCTCGAGGGTAAGGATCAGGGACCTCTCTGGAGCGCAGCATCTCGATCACATACCAGATCGAGGAGGGAGGCCCGGGAGGACCGAGGGGGGGCCCAGGGCCCGGCGATGCATCGGCGACGCATCGACGATGCATTGGCGCCGTCGGCGTG